TTGTCCATTAATTCTTACAATTGGACCTTGAGTTCTTGCAACTCTACAGGTGTCATTCTATGCGGAGTCATAGAAATGGACGATGTATTGGGGTGTAACTCAATAGCGAAGTCTACATCCCTATGTGGAGGTAATCTTGATAGTTCATCCAAAAAAATATCCTCATACTCACAAAATCACCCTAGGTAGACCCAACTCTTGTCTCGCCTCATCCTCCAAGGTAAGGCTTGCTAGCCAACCCATCAACTGCTCATGCCAACGGGAGTCATACACTACTTGGGGTAAAATGTCGTGTTTCTCCCTCTGAAACTTAAAACAAACACCGTCTAATGTGTAGGTAGTGACTCTCTTTCAATCACAATCAATGACGACTCGGTGTGTCGCCAACTAGTCCATCCCAAGGATGACATCAAACTCCAACATGTCTATGACCCTAAGGTCTATTGTGAGTAGAATCCTTGAGATCTCTAGCTCGTAACCATGGACTTTAAACCTTTTTCACTCTCACAATGAAAGATGATAGACTCATTTACCACAAGGCCTATATAAGATCTATGGCATATGCTCTGATACCAAGTTATGACGCCCCAAAAATTGGGGGTCCTTTGTCAAACCGTTGATCACCCATCAACCCACAGAATACTCATGAATGTCGTGCAACTCGATATCATGTCGTTATGTTCCATTTTTCGGGATACATAATTTAACGAAATTCAATCAGAGTTTTTTTTGTATGGGAACTCTACTCAAAGCACAACCTATGCAATTATACAATATTAACCATACCGGGTCCATTTATCCATACTCATATAACAATATTTAATTACATAACTCATCTGAGGTCTAATATACATCAATTCATACTCTCACATCATGAATTTATACATCAAACATAGTTAATACAAGTTCAATTACAATCATTTTCATAGATTTACATGTCCAAAACCTAACTTAGCGAATGTTTTACAAATGCATAGTTTTTCACAATAATTTTACAAAACGTGAATTAAAAGTTACAAGTTAGTTTTTCTTCATCCTTGAGGCCCCAAATACAAGTCATCCACCAGTGTATAACCCGCACCTGAAATGTTTTTTCATAAAGGGTGAGTCACGCTCAATATGGTATCTCCTACAGAGGTCACTCCTCAGCGTAAGTGCATATGAAATGTTTACATGCAACAACCATTTCAATCAAGAATATGCAATTCAATATTGAAAATCACCATGTCATGCCATGAAATGAAATGAGACTCATTCATGCACTTCAACCTGAGTCATTTCCGGCTCCTACAACACCATGTAATGCCAATGTGTATAAATCTGTCATTGATGATATACGTCCAATTATCTTTTTAAAATAATTATTGTGTCTTTGTTATAAAACAAAATCATGTGTCTTTGTTAGACGTTACACATGTAATGACTATTTTATAAAACAAAATCATATGTCTTGGTTGGATAGTAGAGTTTTTGTGTCGCACCGCCTGTTCCGCATACCGATACACTTTTTTGAAATTGCACCACAGGGGATTGTATGAACCAAGTAGTTGGGTCTTGCACCCGAGGGAGAATCTAGCCCTACTTGCTATACCTGACATAAGTTTTTCATGCAACCATGCAACTCAGCCGGATCTTTGATCCAACCTTTCCGAGTCCATTTATCAACCACCAAGAATGGTGTTTGATCAACCATACACACACACACATACACTCATGCCCCATGCCCATGAATGTGATGTCTCCATGCTTATGGAATGTAACGAGCAATTGCAACATCAATATCATATCCATATGTAATGAATGTCATATGAATTATTTCTACCACATTTTAACACATACCATGGATAATTATATCCTAAGCATATAATTTCCATAAATCATCACAATGCCACTATATCACAAGCACATAGTTCTCATAATTTTTCACAATGTCAATATATCAATAAACACATACCAACATTTTACCTAGCAATAACACTCAAGCATGTTATTACATAATCAAGCAAAAACACACTTAATTCCAAAGGCATAATGTAAAATACCTAACATGCCCAAATATCACAATCTTTCTAAAAACCACAACCTAGCAATTTCTAATAACCCATTCAAGCTAGAATTGATTTTAGCTAATTTTAATACCCATTTCATAGAATCAACCTAAGTTAAAAATAAACCTAATTATGAAGAAAACCCTACCTCTTGAAGCGTAAAATCAACGTAGGAAGCTTCAAGAATTCAATCCAAGCTCTAATTCAAGCTTTTCCAAAATTTTATTTTTTTGAACCTTCAGTGAAAACCTTTGTTTTTGATATGGTTGTGTAGCCCTCGTCGAGGAGATCGACTTTAATTCTTGACTCGAGTTGATTTGAGCGACGGATAGGCGTAGATCGTAGAGAGAAGCTTTAAAATCTCTCTTCTCTCCCATGTAAAGACCCAACTGATGAATAGGGGAGAAATCTGATTTTCTCCCCCTATTTATAGTCTTTAATTGCTTAGTCCACAATGCGTCACACATCCTCCTTTCCCGGCTCCGTTTTCGCCTCAAAACGATTAAATTTTGCTCCGATTCAAGTTCAAATATATTTAAATTATTTTTAAAATTTCAAAAATTTATTAAAATTTTCGTTTGTGTCACCCGAGAGACCCAACGCCTCGTAAAACATGAAAAATTCGACTATCTTGAAATTCGACAAAATTTGTCTAGGTAACTAGATTCTACGAGACGAATCCAACAATGAGGTTCATTTCATTATCCGAGTTCTAGAAAAATTTAAGTTTTCAACCTATACTGAAATAACAAATTTTTGTTTTGTCCTTTTTCATAAAAGTTCAAATTTACCCGGATTTTACATGAGCACTAAAAGGTATTGCTCAAAGAGAAGTCTAACTGTGACTCAAACTATATTTTCAAAACACAAAATTGGTTTAGAAACACTTTTCTTTGAAAAATCCTAGGAGTTATAATCGAATCGCTTCTAATTCCATTTTTCATCCTAACTATCCTTAAGCTAAAAATAACTAAGGACTCAACTTAGGTGTCTAGGTCATTTACCTTTGTCCTAAGGAAGAAGGTGCATATGGAGGTTGGATAATGTAGCTTTGACGCTTGATCTCCTCCCTTTAATATTGCTTTTGGATCTGGAACTTAATATCATCATGATCATAGAAGTGGTTGAAATTTTACAATGGACTCCACAAAATTAGTCAATTATAAAATATGATCTAACATATTTTACACAACAAAACTACATTTTAAACAAAAAGAGAGAGATGCAATAATAAGAACTTAGTTTTTTCGGATCAATTGTGATTGTCAATTGATCTTTTAGTTAGCTCCAAAAAACTATCAACTGATCTTTTAGATTTAGCCTTACACTTCATAGATTTTTTGTGGGGCTTAGGCTTTTATATAGGGTATAGAATTATGATCTAAACTACTATGGGTCAATTGGAGGCCGGTCTACATTTGTGGACTTTTAGGTCAATCAGTTCATGCGCATACTTTTTGCAACTTAAATGATAATTAAAGGCATAAAGACTAATTTACTCTTAATGACATAAATAACTCTATTAAAAAATGGATAGTAACATCAAAACAATAACAGTAACAGTGATAACGACATAGTAATCATAAAATATTGCAATAATATTGAGAAAATAACAATGACAACGATAATAAATTTTTATTGTCACTGTCCAAATTTCAGAGAACTAGATAGTAGCGTGAATTTTTATTACAGAAGTAAATGAAAATTAAATATACTAATAGACGTATACCTTTCCCTTCCTCTGTTATCAGATTCTTACGTTGATATTTCAATTTTAGCACTCTCCTTCTGCCATATGATAAATTTAAAATTTCAAACAACAAAAGGCAAATAAAAGACACTAACAATTGTAAGCACGAGAATTGAAAATTCATTCGAGATTTCAATGAGAAGAATATGTGTACCTGTGAGAGAGAGAGAGAGAGAGGAGAAAGTACTTGAATTATGAGAATACTCTCATACTTCCATCTCTAAGAATTTTACCCTTTTGTTCGCGAGTTTGCTTGATCCATTACTCGAGCAACAAGAAGTGAGATTGTGATCAGACCTAGGTCTTGCGGACCGAACATTCAAACCATTTGTCTACTCGAATTCCTCGATGTTGCCCGCAGAACCCAGTTTTTTGGTGTCAGACATCATAGCTTAGCAAACAATGTACACAGAGAGAGAGAGAGAGAGAGGTACTAGGAATATACACCGGAGGACATAATAGAAAAAAATAGACTATTGGATCTACTTAAAAAAAATACATAGCATGTGAACTTCATAACTCAAAAAGATTGCACATGGATTTATTAACAAAAGATATCCCCATATTATATTTGATTCTAATTTTCAAAACTAATATCTAAACTGGTTAGGTGCAAACCAGTTGGGGTGGCTCACTAAGCCCATTAATTGCAAGTTTGCCCAAGCACAGTTCTGCCCTGTTGACCTTAATAGCTTGGGATTTATTCTGGTCTCAAGGATCAAAATTTTTATTTCAACGCATTATTTTGATCACCAAAAAAATAAAATATTTTGAAAAAAATTCAGAAATATAATAAATATAATTTATTAATTTATTTTTAAAATAGTCCAAAAAATTAAACAAAAAATATTGAAACATTTTAAAATACCTCAAAACACCCTCAAAGGTTGGTGAAAAATATGCTGAAACATGTCAAAACACTATACCTCAGAGCATTGAAGTTTCATGATTTATTTGATTTTCTTGAAATGGAAACACCAAGACAAGACCATTTTGGAATGAGATTTTGTTTCTGGACCATTTATTAACGGGCCGGGCTGGCCGACCCTTTTCCTAAAAGTGCATTTCCGTAATTTGACTGGCACAATCGGTAAACCCTTTCTTAAACCCTACTGGTATGACCAAAACGACAGAGGCGGGCCGCTCTACTCGAAAGCTCTTTGGCTCTCTTTGGCTCTAGTATCTTCTTCTGCTTCAAGCAAATGGCTAGGCGTTTAATCCCTTCTCTGAACCGCGTTTTGGTTGAGAAAATCATCCCTCCATCAAAGACCAATGCTGGAATTTTACTCCCAGAGAAGACCACCAAGGTACTTCCCGAAACTACCATTCTTCTCTCTTCTTCATAAATTTTTGTAATATTTTGAATCTGTCTGATTGATGTTTTGTGGAAAATCTTAAATTAACAACGTGAGTGTCATGGACTGCCTTTGTATTTGATTTCATATATTTTGTTGTTGTAACATTTTGATTGCTGTAGTTCGTAGTTATGGTTCTGGTTTCATTTCATAACTTTGAACTGTGTTTTAGTTATTTTACTTCTTCTCTCATGCTTTCTGATGAAATAATGGTGAGAAATAATGTCAATGGTTGTTTTTTAAAATTTAGAATATGTGCTGGTTTGGGTTTTTTGAGGATTCTACTTGTGTGGTTTCATGGTTCCGGTTCTTCTTGCCCAGTTTTGTGTTTGGTTGCTGGGAAAATAGAGGGAAATGGGACTGTTTAGATTTTTGGGTTATATCAACTGAAAATGCAAAGGTAAATTTTTTATTAGGCCCCGATAGTCATTTTTGTGATTTTTGGGTTCTCAATTGTGAATATTTGCATGTTGCAAAGTTTCACATTTTTCTTTCCCAGTTTTTCAGTCAGCTATGATAGGTAGGTTAGCGGGAATGTTCTCTGTATAAACTCTGTTGTATCTGTTTTGTGGAGTTTTTTGTTTTGATGTTAGTTTATGTTCTTGCTAGAGATCCTTTTTCAAACGTACTCCCATTTCGAGTCGAGAGATGGATAAATAGTAACATTCCATTGCTCTGATCATTGGTATTTGTAGTGACTGAGGGGGTCAATGACCCAGAAGTGAGTTATTTATACTATGCATTCTTCTTCCAAGTAGATCCAATCTCTTGGTCCCCATGGAAAGGAAAAACATTTTATGCTCTTTGAAGGAAAAGATTAGGAAAATCCTATCGGTTGCAGTTATTTCCATACCTTTCGGAAAAGTATGAAAAAAAAGCTCAAACATAGTTGTCAAATCACGATTCGTATCATAAATCGAAATCCTAAATTTGAGAATCGTGAATCGTAAGATTCGACACAAAATTTGAACAAAAATAAAAAATAATACTACATATTTATAATAGACAAAATATTGAATATTGAATATTATTGTATTCTAAAAATAATCAATTGACATAATCACGTCGTTTAAATAGAAAGATATGAGCCTTTTGTTTCATTTTCATCTTTTGTTTAACCATTTTTTAAATTCAACAACTTAAAAGGAAAATTCATTCAAGAATCATGGTTATTCAAGAACCAAAATAGTGACACCAAGTATATATTAGGTTACAAACATAAATGGAAAAAGAACAAATAAAAAAATTGATTCAGAGAAAACATATAGGCCAATATTTTGAAATAAAAAATTAGAACCTAACAAACTATCGATGAAAGAATTGAGAGCAAAAATCAACCAATAATGGGAGAACGTTAGCCGTGACATTTAACTTTAGACAACGCAAGATTAGTTTTAGACGACATCAGAGAGAGAACGAGTAAAGAGGTTGAATTTTTATTAGGGCGTGAGTTTGTCTATAAACTAAACGACTTCGTTTAACTCTTTAACCGACAAAACGACATCGTTTTTTCAAAATTTTGGATTATAAAAAAAAGTGATTGAATCGTGCGATTCGTGAGATACGAATCAAATTGTACTATTCAACTCTAAAACAATTCTCATATAAGATACAAATCATTTTGTACGTGTATCAAATCGAATCGCATGAATCGAATCGCGAATTGCAGTGTTATTTAAGGCGTAAAGTGAATCGAACTGGATCGGTTTCCAGAAGGCCTAGGCGAGAAGCGAGAAGTGAAGTGACTGTTTCATCGAAGTAAAGTAAACAATATAAAAAATAAGCAATATTTTAGTATGATACTTTGATTACTCTTAAATATTCAAGTTTTAACTTTACAAATACAAAATATTTAAATGAAATATCAACAAATTTTAAATAGACAATATATTAAATATTGAGTATTATTGCGTTCTAAAAATAATTAATTAACATAATCACGTCATCTAAATGTAAAGCTAGCAAATGTGGGTTTGACTTCCACCGTGATTGATTAATATTACCACTAAATGGAACACTCATAAATTGTTTAATCAATAGAACATATAGCAAGTTGATTAATCAATCTGATTAACTAAGCAAATTGATTAACAAGAACATTCACATTAAAACAGATCATCTAATCATAATAAGACAAATTGTCATATGATAGGGTTAAATGAATTGATCAATTTATTTTATATATATACACATATAACATTATTTTTGCTAGGGTTTGGTTAATATTAAGAAAAAAGAAGAAGGAGGAGGGGGGAGGGACGAGGAGTAGAAAATAAATAAACTGCAGTCAAGCGTTCGCTTTTCTTCCTTGGCTCTCTTCTTCGTTTTGTCGCTTAGGCTCGCTTTTTTTTCGCTTTACTTAACCTTGCTTTCGCCTGGGATGTTCAAGGCGATCAAGCTCGCTTCGCTTTTCACTTAGGCGCTTGCGTAGGTTCACTTTTCACAACACTGGTGAATCATACGATTTGATAACTATGAGCTCAAATTTTACTATTCCTCCATTACCCTAGAATGAAAGGGGTGATTTCGTAAAATGCATTGTTAGGTGCTATATTTGATTTTTCCATTGAGGCCAAACCTGATCATGTACTTTAGAGAGATAGTTGTCCACATACGGATAAGAGATGTATGGATTCTCGAGAAAAAAGGAGCATGGTCGCCCAAGACCGCTCGGACCTCACGAGTGAATCAAAAGTTGAATCTACATTGGATCTCACATGAATATCCCCATCTATCCTCCTGAAGAAAAGTTTGGTTTCAAACCCCGGTTCGAAGCCATATTATTAAAAGCTAGTGGTAAGAACAAGTTTCGCTTTGTGCTCAAAAATAATATTCCAAAGCTTTTGTTTGTTCTCCATTACTTGTGTGGATAAGGCCTATATTAGATAGTATTTAACTTCAATCATAGGAATCAATTTCTAGTCGCATAGTTTCATAATAATTTTGCAAAACTTTTCATAATTTCTTTTGGATTGTGCTTACGATCGTCATTCAATTGAAAGGATCTTCGTTCCAAAAGCGTATGTGAGATTTTCATCTCATACGACTCCTCTCTTATATGCATAATGAGAATAATAATAGAATAAAAAAAAAGATAGAAATATTCTCATTATGAATTGAGCACGGCCAGTGTTTTTACAAGAATTCTCTAGCCAACCATCTGCAAGAGATCTCTACTTAACATCAAATATACTAGTACTACATGGAAATAATAAGTTCAATTCTTTGTTAACTTCAAATGGGATTTTTCTTTTGCCTGCTTATTCAGCTAAACTCTGGAAAAGTTGTTGCCGTTGGTCCTGGGCTTCGTGATCGGGAGGGGAAGGTTATTCCTGTTTCTGTGAAGGAAGGAGATACCGTTCTGTTACCTGAATATGGAGGAACTGAAGTGAAGCTTGCTGATAAAGAGTAAGTTTATATTGCTGTTTATTTCTCTTTTTGATTATGTTTATGTTGTTGTCTTCAAAGTTTATGATATAAGATGTAGTTTCATTGCAAAAATGCACAAATTCTATTACTTATTTATCTCTGAAACTCTTCTATCTAGTTTGACTGATGTTGTGAAGTTCTATCTAGAATCGATGATCATTCTAACAACTGAACAGCTTGCACTGTAATATTATTGCGTTTCCTGTCAGGAGAATGGTATAAATATATGCATTGGTGAAGGGAATGGTGTCTACTGTACCTTCCCTATCCGGAGAAATGTATTTATCTGTGTAGAAAATCATGCCAGAACATGTTTTTGGTGTCCTGACTTATTTCTTGTGAACCTAACTTTTCCCCTATCCTCTTCCTATTCAATTTATAACTTCTGATTAGATATTGAGATGTTTGGTTGTTCCATTCTTATTAAGGTAACCCCTAGGATTCTCATCTATAAAACCACTCACTCTTTTACTGTGCCCATCGATTCTGAGAAGTGATCTGAAAATGAACAGCTTGTATTTCCTCAACACGCAGCCATTGCACAAACATGCAACTAGAGTAAAATGGGTGCATTTTGTCTAGAATTTGCATCTCATATCTCTTCGGATTAAAATTTGTTTAAAAGTCTAGGTTGCAAACCCTACATTTCTTTCAGATGATGTTTTGAATGTCTGCCCAAGAGTAATGTACGTGGTAATATGATTCCAGTCCGAGGTAAACTTTGTGAACTTATTATTCGATCAATTAGACTCTGCTTGTTTATATCCATCAATGTAGGAGTTTTTCCACTGATACCCCAAGTGTTTATGGTTGTTTACCTTAAGTACATTTTTTTTTTGTATGATCTGATGATTAAGGTATTAAAATGCATTTCATTCTCTGCAGTTTAGTGGGGATTAATGCATTTCACTACATCCATGTTTGTTTGAAAAATCTTTCTAGGTTTACCACCTCCCTTCTAGACTTATTATTCCTTTCTAAAGTGTTGTAAACCTAATACAAAAGGTGTGCTGAATGCTAATCATTTTAAACTCATGTTTAGTGCCCGAGAATAGAATCTATTATTTATGCTAAATGTCTGACAACACAATCAATTTTTCATTGATATTAGACTTCCCTTTGCTGGCATAGAAATCCTACACTATACCCGGGACAACAGATTTGTACTCAATTACATGGACTGTTGTAGGAGAACTAGACTTCTTTATTCACCGGGTGCATAGTAATTACCTGACAAAATCACTGATTTTCATTTTAATACCCACCCTCACCCTTGACTTTTGCCCATGCAGCTACACCTTGCTCTGAAAACCATATGGCATACAAGCATGGTTATCAAATCGTGTATCGGAAGGCGTATCGTAAGATACAAATATTGTATCGTATCGTGTATCGTAAGATACGATGCAATTTTAAAAAAATATATATACCTTTGAAAAAAAGTCATACACTCATAAAAAATATAGCATTTCATTAATACTCCACCAACTATTCAAGTTATCAACATAATCCACTACTATTATAATGCAAAGTTCACAACCATAGTTCACTAATTCAAACTTTAAACACCAAAGAGACTTCTAATCCAAATTTCTAACATCCATTTTGAACTCAATCTTCAATTTCAATTGAAAATGCATCATCATCATCATCATTGTGATCGGATGCCAACAAGTCTTCACTTGTCGTTTTTTTTAAAAAAAATCAGAGCACAAAACGACGTCGTTTTTAAAAAAAAAAAAAAAAAAAAAAAAAAAAAAAAAAAATTGCACGTATCGTGCGTATCGTACCGATACGTATCGTATCGTAAAAACGTATCGTGTATCGGACGATACAACGCAAAAACGATACATAACTACGATCCGTATCGTTTTAGGGCTGTATCGTAACGTATCGTACGATACGTATCGCGTATCGTACGATACTAACAACTTTGCATACAAGTGGTCTCTGTAGTACTTTGGTTACGGATGACAAAACAATTTTGCTGACAGTATTCTGCAAGGAATGCTATACTTTGAGGGCTTTTAGAGAACCAATAGTCAAATTAGGATGCAGAATTCAAGATGCTACATTGGGGGTTTGGTATTATTGTAGGCTGGAATTCGAGACCAGAAAACAAACTCGAATTAGTCATTGCTGAAGTCTGTCTGTGACTTCCCAGTTCCTACCCCCTTTTCTATGTCAGTTGCAATATAATTCGTGCTCTTCTTTATAAAATTTGGGTGACTGTATCCATCTTGCAACTGTTGTGCGCCACCCACCATCCATAAATCCTAATTCATCATGTTTTCTGTATACCTTTGCTGACTATAACTGTAATATTCTCTTTTATTCTTTTGCTGCTTCATTCAGCGAGTGCGCAAAGAAATCTTCCCTTTTTGTTCCCTTAAGATTTTTTTTCAATATTAGGTTTTCGAAATGGTCCAAAATCTGGCAAGTGGATAATTGAAAAGGTTCAGTAACTTTTCACCAGACCAATAAGTGGGTTGCTTGGCAATTGCTTTGAAAATAATCCAGGTTCATCGTGTTGGATCACTGGCTACTTATGCAACTATGATATAAGCTTCCCTTTATAAAGTGACTTGAAGCTTACTGTTTCCTTTGGACGGTACATTGAGATACATCTTATACTAGTGGTTACCCGTGCTAAGCACAGCAAGTGTTGACAAAACCATAAACAAATTATGTTTCAACAATGTAAATGATGCAAAACTTAAACAATACTAACAATGTCCAAATCACAAAACAAATGTCCATGGTAAAGTAAATGGTTGGCTGCAAAAACGGATGCCATGTGAAACACCCTCCAAATTCATTCGTCCAATTCAATCAATGTTCAAAATACCAGAGTAGCAAAGAAATACACAATGCCTACTAATATTAGAATATTAAGCAATTAAGATTTCTTCAACAAAGATGACAAAGCTAAATACGCATACTTGCTAAACACATCCAGCCTATACTCCATCTCTTTCTCAGCCAACTCTAACACTTCAAGGAAAATGACACCAAACTTGATCCTAACTCACGCAATAAAATTCATTAAATTCAATTACGCAGACACCATCTCTATGAGAAAAACACCACCATAACATCAATTCCATGCAAGCACTTGCTTTAGGACCAATTATAAAACTGAAAAATCAGTCACAAATAATTTAAAAAAATGAAACATTCACAGCCTCCTTAAATTTATATAATCCACTATCTCTTAGGCATTACTATCCTTACCCTAGATAAATAAGAAAAAAAGTTTTTTTATTCCTAATTTAATATGACAATATATTTAGGAAAAAATTCGTGGATTAAAAAAATTTCCTAATCAATTCATTTAAAATTTATTATTATATACTTCCTACATCATAAGGACATAAAACTACTTTTGCCATCATCACCGGTAGAGAATCCATTGTGTTGGTGCAGAATTATAACTAATTGGATCAAATAACCATACTAAATTATAATGAATTAGATCAAATATGAAATAACCATACAAATAAGTTTCTAAGCGTAATAAATTTCAAAAAATATATTATGCAAAAATTCCTCTAAAAAGAGGACTCCAAAAAAATTTGTCACAATAGACATAACTCATAAAGTTGACAATGAGAACCATTTTGCAAACTAATTGAAAAGCCCCATTCCTTATATTTGGTGCTTCATAGCCTGTAAAACATAGAGTTTTTAAATAAGATAAAAGCTAACATTTTCCTTAAAAAAGAACCAACCATTGCAGAAGCATGGTATATCAAAGATTGATACATACAAACGAAATACCAATGGTCATGTAGTATATAACTACCAATACCATGGTGGCTAACTAAATATACATCTTAAACTTCTTACATGAAGAAAAAAGTTGAATTGAAGACATTAACACCCTACTAAAACTCTCAAACGGATCATAGGTATAATATGTAGAAACAACCATGTGTTTAATGGATCTAAGAATGAAAAACACAAATTGAAAAATACAAATTCCAAGCAAAAAGCTATAAAATGATGTACAAATACAATTATATTGAATTAGCAGACCAAAAGAATTGCAAACTTGGAATTTAAGAAACAGAAACTACATATATATCTTCTGTTGACATACATAAAAATGAGAACCAAAAGTAAAAAAAAAAATGTTCGGCGAGTAGTAATGTGTAACAAAAAGTATAAATTGGTTTTACCAGGTTACATGGTACCAAGTTGGCAACCATAATTTTTCCAAGCTATAAAATTTTGTGCATCTTTAGATTTTGTCGACACTTCTTGATATGAACTCAAATAATTTCATCCGTGTTATGTAAGTTGAAAAATTTTCAACTATCACAAAATCAAATAGCTAAACTCAGCAACTTAGAGGGAATATTGATATGTTAAATAGATTTGAATTGAATCTTTGACATGGACATTGAAGTGGCAACCTTGCAAAGTCTGAAAGGGATTCAAAGTGCCCACGTCAAACCTGCTTCCGCCCAACATTGGATGCAAAACTGGAACAAATTTTAATGAAAAAACACATGTATACAATAGATCTGAGATACATAAAAAAAGAAACTCAGACCAAAGGACAAATATATAGTACTGTGTAATGATTGATGCACAATAGATCTTTGAGAAATTTTGTTGAACATGTGAGATACGCCAAAAATTGTCAATCCAATTAATAAAAGGAAAAGATGAAAGAAATCAATGGACAAAATCATGCAAATAGTAACATAGTACATGCATTAGTACAGGCATACTGACTTCGTTTCCTCGGCCTGCTATGCGAGATTTTGCATGGTCAAAAGGACACTCCAAAGTCAGAAACCAAGGATTACTTCCAAGTTTTCTCACCAAATACTCCATTAGATCACCAAGATATGGGAAATCTTAAAAATCAACAAAATTTTCAATCCCCACACGTAAATATACATAGAAACACACACATTTCTTCTTTATTTACACATGAAACTGTCCACCCACTTGTGGGAAATTAGAGAAAAA